TTTGAATTAAAACAGAAGTTAGATATTACGTTGAAGTCAGTTAAAAAATCGAAATACAAGTTTTTAAAAAAATTAGTAAAATAATCACAATATCATTCACAGCTGCAGATCATGAGGATTTAATTATCTGGAAGGGGTACAAACATCTTAGGTCGGGGGATCTGGAATCTTCCCGAAGACTCGAATAATACAAAAGACGAAATCCCCAGAAGCTCATCAGTATTTAACATTTAGGGAAACAAAACTAACTCTCTTTGCACGAAATTACATACCTTTTTAAAAGAAAAATGAATCTTGAATTAATGATGAAAAAAGTGGAATAAACCCAATTACAAGTAGTCTTACCTGTCCATGACTTGTATTTTTTAGGTACTTCGGAAAAAATAAAAGCAATAAGTCAATGCATCACTTCATGATTATCAAATTTTATTGTGTGCTTAAAACATATACCTATATGTTGCATATACCTTTGTATAAAGTTATAATTTTTAGAATGGTGTACTATACGGATATAGTAAGCAGTAACAATACAAGAAAGTCAGTAGTAAAGTTTGAAGGAATACTTCCCTATGGATACCCAATTGTAACGATACAAGAAAGTCAGTTAGTAGTGTAGTTTGAAGGAATACTTCCCTATGATAGCCAGTAGTAAAAATACAAGAAAATCTGTCATTAGTGAAGTTTGAAGGAATACTTCCCTATGATAGCCAATAGTAACAATACAAGAAAATCTGTCATTAGTGAAGTTTGAAGGAATACTTCCATATGAAAGCCAGTGGTGAAAATACAAGAGTCAGTTATTAGTGAAGTTTGAAGGAATATTTCCCAATGATAATCAGTAGTAACAATAAAAGAAAGGCAGTCAGTAGTATAGTTTGAAGGAATACTTCCCTATGATAGTCAGTAGTGAAAATACAAGAAAGTCAGTCAGTAGTATAGTTTGAAGGAATACTTCCCTATGATAGCCAGTAGTGAAAATACAAGAAAATCAATCATTAGTGAAGTTTGAAGGAATACTTCCCTATGGATAGTCAGTAGTAACAATACCAGAAAGTCATTCAGCAGTGTAGTCGAAGGAATACTTCCATATGATAGACAGTAGTAACAATACAAGAAAGTTAGTCATTTTGAACTTTGAAGGAATACTTCCCTATGGATAGCCAGTAGTAACAATACAAGAAAGTCAGTCAGAAGTGTAGTTTGAAGGAATACTTCCCTATGGATAGTCAGTAGTAACAATACCAGAAAGTCATTCAGCAGTGTAGTTGAAGGAATACTTCCATATGATAGACAGTAGTAACAATACAAGAAAGTTAGTCATTTTGAAGTTT